TAGCTCCAAGAAGGATTAGGACATGCTAATGCGCCACCATTATCATGATACAACCAATAAAGACAACACCATATGTTTTCACCCTAGTGAGCGAATTCTTCAAACTCTAGACAATGCCTTCAACAAGAAAGATGTCTCCTCGAGTCGTGGAACCTGTGCCTAACAAGCATCGCAAATCAAAGTGCACAAGTGCCTAGGCAGTCATGAATCCACCATATATTGTGGGCCCATTTGGCATGACTAGATCCATCTAGTGTCTATAATTTGTAGACTAAATTAAATAGCTAAAATATTTTTATTTAGTCTAAATTATAAATGAAATAAGTAATGTAAATGCACTTCATATGCCTCTAGCTCCATATATAAGATTTTCTAGAGCTAGAAGTATCTAGCTCCAAATTTTGTGGAGCTAGCTCTACCAAACAGAGGCCACAACCGCCATCATACTACCTGCAAACTTCACAAATTTCGTTTGTTCACTAATTCCATAATAATGTTATTGTTGTTGTAGGTGCATGAATATGAGCCTCTAGGATTTCATAACTATACGATGAAAACATACAAACAAGATTATATCAGTTGCATGAAAAAAAGAGAGGAACAAATAAATTAGGGAACATAGATAGCCATGAATACTTGAAGAAGGCAAAGAGGAGGGCCGGCCCTAGGGGGGCATGGGGTGCGACGACCAAGGGCCTAGGCGGGGGAGGGGCCCAAGCCCAGGTATACAAACCCCCAGGCCCTATAATCCATTAGTCATCAGCAAACTAATGAGAAGGCGGCCCAAGAAGGCAAGAAGATCATCAGCCTATTTCTTTCCCAGGAGGCGAGGAGCCGTGCCACAGTTCCGCACGCCCGCACATTGCGACTGGCGCGATCGCTACGCTAGACACGACACGCGAGATCGCGACGCTGACTCACCGAGGAGAGCTAGAAGCCTGGATTGCTGGAGAACTGGAGAAGAGAATGGCGCACGACGGTCGACGGCGCACGACGGCGGTTCTTGCCTTCTGCCCTTCTTGCGAATCTTGGTTCTGAATCAGTTCATGTCCAAATTGTCCAAGTCCTAGGTATTTGTTTCCTTGTTCATTTTTTAATCCAAATTAATTATTTGTATAGTATTCCAGACTTCTAATATTTTGTACTCATATAGTCATTTTTCTCTTCTAATTTAGGTGTTAGAATTTTAGAATGTTACCTAAGAAATATTTGTCAGGGGCTGTGGAAAAAAAACGAAAAAGACAAGAAGATCAATTTATTCAATCACAACAAGGTGCTATCCATATGTTTGAGTTGCCTATCGAATTCTCTTAACTGTACGACTGTAGCTTCGGCTGAAAGAAGTTTCTCAAAATTAAAGTTGTTGAAGAACTATTTGAAATCAACTATGTCACAAGAAATGTTAAATGGCTTGGTTATGTGCACCATCGAGAAGGATATCTTGGACACTATTGATCTCAATACCGTCCTTAATGATTTTGCATCGAGAAATGCACGAAGAAGTATCTTTTTATGAGAAGCAATGAATATAATGGAGTTCTATTCTTTGTTAAGGTAATCACATTAGTTCTAGAAGTACAAATATATTGCTTTTTTAGTCTACATTGCTTCTCGATAATTATCAGACATGTTAAATAAAAAATATATTATTAGATTTGTTTTTTCTTTGCAAGTAAAATTAGCGTCTATATATTATAAAATTTTATATACGGTCTAGAAGGGTCATCACGACGAGTTGCCAGAGGGCCCTCAAAATCATAGCACCGGCGCTGGCAGAGAGTGGGCAGATCTCGTGTCACTGAGACGATTGACATCAAGGTGCCGGATAAGTAACAAATGTCAATGCGAGGTGACACTAGTAATGACAAAAGGAAGAAAATAAGAAATCATCTGTAGATTCCAAACACCGAGTTTCTGAGTTTGAACAACCAATTTGATGGAAGACTGACCCCACCAACAAACGGCACAATGAAATAGCCAAATAGGAGATGTCAAATTGTTTAGTTGGTCAACTGTGATAGGTAAGCCCTGTGCCAAACCCTCGGGCCCCTCTCAACTCAAGCTCCCATACCAATCCCTTCTTTTTCTTTCATTTTTTTTATAAGCCCTCTCTCGACATCTATGATATAGTTGTACGAAAGTAATCCCCTGTTGAAATTAGTAGGCTATTTCGTTTCATAGGAGTTAGGACAAACATTTGATCAATAAGTTTTTAATCAACACATGGTTTTTCTATCAAAATTGATAATGTTAAATTCAAAATGAAAATATTTATCTATGGTTACGATTTTATATTACAGAAGAAATTAATAGAGTAATTGTTGGCAAAAATCTTTGTCCTCATAACGAAGCAAAATAAGTCTACTAATTCGAAACTGAGGAGGTATACCTATGAATCATATGTACGTGGTTGAAGGGTGAAGCACTCTTGTTACGTAAAACGTAAGGTGTATCACTTCCTTTAGTGGTCCAAATATTGAACGAGTTGAGTGCACCCATTATATGGTGACACAGAAGATTAATTCATGAAATTAAGGGACAGGTATCCTTTCCTTTTCACCTCCTCTTCCCCTGCTCTTCATTTCATCATGTCAAAGATGTGCAGGGTTTGAGGTCCATTATATCAGGGATAAGCACGGATTGAACTTTATTACCTTGCCCTTCAGATGTTGTACGATGTACTATACCTCCTTACCTGTACACTGATCCAGCTAAATGGACGTCTATCTGAGGAGTGTACCTCTATTTCAAAACAGATGGCGTTCAACAAAAGCAAAAGTCAGCAATCAGCATGCAAGTTTCAAATAAATGTCATCTTTTAGCTTCTCAGGCTACATATTTTTCAACAGGTGCCTCTGTTAATTCAATTTATGTACTATTTTCGGAGAGAAGAATAAAGTAGTCCATTAATGTATGGTATGTCGCACGGGTTAAAATACTCCTTCCGTCCCAAATTATAAGCCGTTGCAACTTTCTTGGAGAGCAAAACATATGAAGTTTGACCAAAATTACAGAGAAAATTACAAAAATTTATGACATCCAAATAGACATATTATGAAAATATAATTAATGAAGAATCTCATGATACTTATTTCATATTATAAATATTATTATTTTATCATATAAATTTGGTTAAACTCGAGATGCTTTGACTTAAAAAAATGTTAGAATGACTATCGGTTAAATTTGGGAGGGAAAAGTGAGGAGGGAGTAGGTAACAGGTAACTCAGGTAACTACTGTCACTGTCAGGCAGGAAACGAAGAAATTGGCTGTCAGTCTTTCCTCCGATTCGATTCAGATACCACCAAGGGCAGAGGCCGCCGGGCGGAGCAGGGAGCAATCGCCATTCGCCAGGGACGGACACCTCTGCGGCTCCGCCTCGACTGACGACAGCGGTCATAGCCAGCACCGGCTCTACAAGAAAGAAGAGAAACTGCAGAAACCGGGAGTGCAGGCGCGGCAGCGAGTCCCATGTGTTTGTGCTCGTCCTCCTCATAGCTCCCGTCTCCTCGTGCTCTCCACTGCTGCATGCGCCTCTTGTCCTGTCCCCCTGCCCCCTCCCCACCTTGTTCTTGCCATCCCGCGCCGTCTCTGCACGACGCAGCGCCGGTCCACAGACAAGGACAGCTACGACTACGACGCGCAGAGCGCCAGAGCCATCGCCCATCTGGGGCTGTCCTCGGTTACTCCTCCCCTCTGCCTTGTCCACAGCTGTCGTTAATTTCTTGATGAGTTGGCGTCGGCACCAGCGGGGCGGAGGAGGAGAAGGAGGCGGGGATTCAGATTCCCAGGCGCCGGCCGCCGCCTGAAGATCCCTTCTTCTTCTTCTCCTGTCGTCTGGCGGGCGAGGTGAGGCGGGTTCTTCCGTTTCTTGATTTTGGTTGCTTGCGCAGAGCCATTCCTCTTGTCCATTTCTTGGCCGAGAGATCTCATCTTTATTTGGTAATTTGGTACTACCTATTTAACGCTAGACACCGCCTTTTCTAGTTTCGGGTTAAATGCTAGTATGATCCGGGCTCGATTTTAATCGTGGAATGCGCCTTTCTTCCCCCCATCAAAAGCCAAAAGGGACTGTTTGTACTGATTCGTTCAGGTTCTTCTTCCCATTTGCCGTTCCTGCTTTTTCTTCGCTTGTCGAAGGTCAATCTGCGAGCTCAATGCCGGCGCTGGTAGTTGTGCTATTCCTCCTTGGGCCGATGGGGCCGACGGCCGTTGGGCTCCTGCCTGAGTGAGACAGGGGAGACAGCGACGCGTCTCTGCTGCTGTTTCTTCCACCACCATTACTGCGCCCCCCGCCTCCGTCTGACCATATCGCCTTTGCAGTCTGCAGAATAGTAGGAAACTAATAATTGCAGTTAAAAAAGAGAGGGGTAGCTCAGCTCGTTAGATCCTGCAGCTTACCATTTCTTGGATAAGTTGGGGGAAGATGGTGTCTTCGTTTCGATCCTTGTTCTTCCTAGTCAATTTGGGGCAGTTTGTTTACTATAGAAAGGTGGCATCTTCTGCTCTTTGATCTATATGTGGATCCAGTGCCAAATTGGATCGATTGAGGTTGGTTCCTTTGTTCAAATTCCCAGTTTAACGGATCAATTCGGTTAGTTGACTCTTGCTTGCAGAAAGTGCCAACTGTGCTGCCATTCATTTCCATTGAATCCTTGGCTATCCACTCACAGAAACACCGAGTCCGTGAGGTCATTTTGTCCCTGCTTATGTAGGATTCTTGTGTTTATTTCCAAGTGGACATGTGGCGCATTCCCCAGCTTTTCGCAAATCAGTTTCTTCTGAACTCTGGAGTGCCCAAGTGGTTGTTCCCTTCCCATATCGATATAAGGCTAACACCATTCTCCATTCTGATGCCTGCCTCAATACATCTTGGCTCCAAGATTTTTCTGTGATTCTGTTCAGTTCCATAGGGTGCTCAATAAGTGATATCCAGTATTTAGAGAGTCTCTGCAAGAAGTGTTGCTCATATATTTGTGTTCTGATAGGTCCAAGAACCATGGGGCTCTTAGGTATGATGGGCGACTCGTTTGGTTGCTCAGCGATTGGGGAGCGACTTGTCTCCGCTGCAAGAGATGGAGACATCCAGGAGGCTAGAGCTCTCTTGGAACTCAATCCCCGCCTTGCACGGTACTCGACTTTCGGGATCCGGAACTCGCCTCTCCATTACTCGGCAGCAAAGGGCCACCATGAGGTGAACCATTGATTTTATCTATAGTATTGTTTTCCCATCTATATGCAATAATTGTAGATCCAGATGCCTTTGTTAACCCATTTAATTACTTGTTAGTATGTGAACTTGTTATTGTTTTACAAAATAATCCTCTCCTTCCTCTGTGATAGATTGTCTCCCTCCTAATCGAATCCGGCGTTAATATTAACCTTAGAAATTGCAGAGGACAGGTAAATTCTTCTCTTTCTCATCTTAGATCTTCAACCATATTGATCACTGTGCTTTGTCTGCCTTTAGAGTATTTCATCAGCAGTGAATTTCCATTCAGGATTATATTAGGAAATGCATTATGTAACAGTATGGTTAAAAAATACTAGCAGGCTTTGCAGTCCTGTGCATTTATATATAACTTAGGTTACCTATTTTTTTGGGAGTGTGAATTAGTAGCTTGATGGAGAGGAACTATACCCTTGCTTCTTTTTCGTGGTTGAGTTATACTGTATGCCCTTGCTTCTTTTTCGTGGTTGAGTTATACTGTGTGCTAACTCAACAATGTTCACACGCTGGTTGTTATGTGGTCAATACATAAAAATTGATAAGAGATAGATGCTACAGCTTAGTCTTCATTGCATCTCACCTTATTGTTTATGTTTCTTCTCAGTTATGTTTTAAGTTCTGGTTTTTTTTTTGGTGCTAATTCAGAACACTAAACTGTGCAGACTGCTCTGATGCAAGCTTGTCTATATGGTCACTGGAAAGTTGTACAGATTCTAGTTCTTTTTAAAGCTAATGTAAGTGAACACTAGCTAATATGTTCTTGGATCAAATTAGTCTGATTTTTTTCTCTTACAAAAATGTCTGAAATATCTATTTATGCACGCGATCTGTATCTGGATTTCTAGATTCACAGGAGAGACTGTTTTAGTGGCGCGACCGCTATTCATTTTGCCGCCCTAAAAGGTCATACTCGGTGCATTCGGCTTCTTATGGCTGATTACGTGCCTAGCTTGTCAGAGTTTTGGACCATTATGCATGGAAAGTCCACAGATGAAATGAAAAAGGATGCCTTTGATGCCGTGTATGTAAAATCCTGACGTTCACCTATATTGGCATCTTTCCCATCACTTATAAATTTGCATCATTTTTCCTTGTACACTCTGGGCATTCAATTATGTGGTCATCTTCTCATCACTTATAAATTTGTGTCATTTCTTCTGGTGCTCTTCAGGGCTCTCCAGAGACTAGTTAATGGAAAGTCGGATGGTGGCGTCACCCCGCTTCACTTGGCAGCCCTTCATGGGCATGCTGAGAGTGTGCAGTTGCTATTAGACCTTGGAGCCTCTGTCTCTGAGGTGACTGTCAATGATGGTTCAACTATTGACCTCATTGGTAAGTATTTATTAAACAGAAAAGGATATTGTTTAACCTGATTCAATTTATTATAGACATGGTTCTGCAAAAATATTATCGATAAGTGGACCTTTCCTTACTTTTTTACTATGATTGTAGATTAACTCAACCATCGTGCAGGTTCAGGGAGCACACCCCTCCATTACGCGGCATGTGGTGGAAGTGCTGTTTGCTGCCAAGTATGTTAGTTAACTTTCCTATTTCATGAGAATCTAAGTAATTTGCCAACTCCCATCTACTGATATCTGCTAAACAGCTTCTCATTGCAGCAGGAGCCAACATGGGAGCTCAAAATGCTAACGGGTATGCCCTTGTTGGTTCATAATAAATATTTGTTTCTGCATCAAATCAATTGAACTTGTCTCATTGAAAAGATAATTTTTTTACTTACAACTGTCTACAACAAGTTATGTTCTTTGTTTATCAGAATTAGTGGTATTGATATCTTTACTTAAGCACCTGTGTAAATTTTGCACTTCTATTTTACTATTTCTATATGCTTATTAGTGTTAAGTATTGTCTTCCTTATTCGGCCATCTTCCCTATGTGGTTTACTCAAAACCTTAAGCCTGTTGCTGAAATTTTGTGCTTATACAAACTCCGAATATGCTGCCTTAACTTATACCATGCATCAAACTTGTAACTTTTGTTGTCCAATTAAGGAAGGGCACTTGCTTGGGTCTTGCTAATATCAGAAAAGGATTTCCATTTTAATTATTTTGATTGCTTACACTTTTACCATGCTTTTGCTTGAAAGGTTGACTCCTTTATTGGTGGCTCGTTCGTGGCACAAAACTAGTATTGAAGGTATTCTAAGCAAGCAACCAGAAAATCGAATGCGTATTCTTCCTTCACCATACCTTTGTCTACCACTGATGAGCATTGTCAAAATTGCCCGGTGAGTTCAAATACCCGCCAAAATATGTAGGTATTCATAACATTAAACGCCGCTATCTGTAATAACATGATACCTAGACTCAAACATTTTTGCTCAAGTAGTTGTGTATCCACATTCCTTGTTCCAGTGGAAGAGGTGACTACGACCAATGTTTTACAGCAGCATTTTACCTATTACCATTGTGACCTAAAACATCAGAGTTTTACTGCACCTTGGGAGAAGCTGCATTTCACTGGGTGTAGAATGTTGATAGGATGCTCATTTCAAATTTTGAACATCACAAAAAACAGAATAGCACTGTCAGGTTTTCTCTTATTTTTCCTATGCATGATCAGCTAATTATGAATGCAACCCTGAGTCCCTGACCCTTCGTTGATCTTTTTCAGGGAATGTGGATGGAGGAAAACTTCTGCCTCATCCACTTGTCAGGATCCATGTGTCATATGTTTGGAGGTGGAATGCACTGTAGCTGCAGAAGGTACTGAAAAAATTGACTCTCATGGTGGGTTTTTTAACCCTGCGAACACCATTGATGAATGCCTGTTATAATAGGTTGTGGCCATGAGTTTTGCACCAAATGTGCCCTCTACTTGTGCTCCACCACAAGCAGCTCAACATCTATCCGCGGAGTTCCTGGCTCCATATCCTGCCCTTTGTGTCGGCATGCCATTGTCTCCTTCATGAGGCCCACCAGCACTACCCCAATAAAGGCGCTTCCATGGACAAGTGCATCGCTAGCTCTATGTGCAGCAGGCGCAAGCACTGGTCCTGATCATGGCAGGTCCTTGCATCGACGGCCTGACATGCGTCGATTGCGCTCCTCCTCAGTTCAGCTGGGATGCTCTTCTTTTAGATCCATTGGCTCTGGGAAGCTGTCATCCATAAAGCTGAACTGCACAGGAGCTGAAGAGGCAGTGCCTTGCCTCGTCAGCTGCCTCAGGCCCGATGTGCAGCGTTCATCGTCATACAGGGAAAGAATTAGGAGATATTCAGAGTTTTGAAAGGATGCCTTTGTTGGTTTTGTGCCATCCTTCCTGGAGTTTTTAGGGTTTGGGAATTTAAACTTGTGCGGTGTATGTTCAGGGTTCTCTTCGTTTGTTTCCTTGTTATTATGTAATATGATGCAGTCCTCGTGAAGATCTGTTTGTGTACATGGCCCGAGTTCATTACTTATATGTGAAGTATATACCATCTCTGTTTTGCAATCACTGGCAAGTTAATACTCCCTTCCTTGGTTCTAAATTGTAGATTATTTTAGTTTTGTCCTAAGTCAAGCTTCTCTAACTTTAAACTAGTTTCAAAGTTACTGATGAAGTATATCTCATGGTGTATCTAATGAATTTTGTTTGATATTGTAGATATTTGTATATTTGTTTACTTATATGGTTTTTACTGTCGAAATGTTTTTTTTTTGTAATACTTAGTCATAGTAAAAAGGACGATTATTTGGAAACGTGAAATCAGGCCATCCCTGAAGTTTAATGAATTGGCCTAGAGGCGGTTATGATGCCATGGGAAAACCATTGGAAATGACGATTTGAGGCAATGTTACTCTAAATACAAATTTGTCATAGTAAAATGCATGACTTGGATTGAGTCATTTTAAATATGCTTACATGCTTGCCAACACCAAATTCAGCGTTTTAGACTCATGAATAATGTGCGAGCAAATTACATTGGCAGTCCAAAACTATGGCATCATTCTTATCATGTCCCGAACTATCAAATTACATGACTAGAGGACCCTAAACTATTTGAATGCCTCAATCATGGTCCAAAGCAGCCATGTCATAGTATACTAGCTTATGTGAGCGTGGAGATAATATTTGGGTTTGCAACTTGTAATTATACGGACGGTCCCTAAATTATTTTGTGGTTCTCATCTAGATTCCTAGACTATTAAATTATGTATATGGTGGGTTCCTAATCTAACTAAATACCCTGATCTTCAGACTAAAGTACCCCCTTCATGCTTCATTCATCGTGGCTTGGCTTGCCGGATAGGCTCCCAAGTCTTTTTTTTTTATTGTTCGTCTCCTTGTCATTAGCTTCTCATCTTGATTTGGCAAGCAACATCTTAACGCCACTGTTATTTTGAACAAAGGGTCGGTAATTGTTGTTGGGTGTGTGCAAGGAAACATCACTCGCCCACAAAGGTAATGAGCATGCCCGCTTAGTCATCGCACACCAACCTCAGTGTACCAAGATGTGACCTGAGCTCATAGTCATACCATCCCGGTCGGTGGAGCGGAGCATGGCAAGCGTGTCCTTTCACCGCTGGAGGAGACAGGTGGTTACTCTGAACTGGGATTTGGGTAATTTAATAGAATATAGGGATCTCGATATGTAATTTTATATTTTGGAACCTTTCCTCTACCTGTAATATAGTGCATTCTTGGAATTTTAAGACAAATTAAGAGAGAACGTAAAAGAAGCATGCCTCATTTTATTTCCTAATCAGACGATATCATCAATGTGATTAATGTTGATTGGTTGATAAATAGAAAGTATTTAATGCAAAACTGGTTTTTGTCCTCTAGAATACATTATATTTGAGGACAAATTTTGATTGCCAGAATGTACTATATTATAGGACGGAGGGAGTATGCGAGATCACATGGTAGTTTAGGCACTACATGTGTAATTATGAGTTGCAGGCCCACATGTAGATTCTATGCTGGAGCACCATATAAGCTAATAGACTGTGACTTTGCTAATTAGGAACATGATTGACATGCTTAAATATAGTTTAAGGATTCGGATATGCAGTTGCGTAGTTTAGGGATTCGATGAATGAGAATGTCGTAAGAGTTTAGAAACCACGAGCATAATTTACTTATAATGTGCTCACGTTTTGTCGGACCCTCATTTTGAGAGTCATAGGTGCATATGGACTTGCGCCAGGATCATGCACAAGTACGCACAAATTAACAGAAATGGCACACAGATATATAATAAAAGGTTCCGAGCTTTATTGATATCTAAAAAGGTAGAGTCTTACAACAGTGGCCCGAAGGGCTTATGGGTTACATAACTAGCGGAAGACTACTACCGTGAAGCGGCATTTTATTATATCATGGTTGTCTCTAGTACGATAGTATTATACAACATAGCGATATCCTAATCCATAGGCAAGCTTGAGCGCGGTCGAAACCCTAGCTTCGATGTCTTCTTCCTACGATCAAAATCTTCGTGTAACTCCTAATCCTCGTGGTACGCTTCCTCATCGAAGTCTTGGTCCTCCTCGGTGCCGAAGTCTATGAGTCAACAACGGGTAAGTACATACGTACTCAGCAAGCCCTAACCATAGGGTGGAAATAGAAGTGGTGTGGTGATTAAATTAAGGGTTGGGTCCTAGCGGAGTATTACCATTCCCACTAGTCCCCGAGTCAAGGTTTCATAACACAGTTTCATTACACATAAAAGTAAATCTAATCCCAGTATCCCATCATAGCATCTGCCCATTCCAAGGACGTGGTTATTCGAATAGGTTTAATGAACTCTGCAGAGGTATACAAATTTCCCCACACGATAGGCACAATCTCTTCCGTGATCAATGGACCGAATAGGCCTAACGAGACCCCGTACCCGAATGTACGCGACCTTAGATGTTCGTATAATTCTACCATGACTTCCCAGGGGTTGGAAAACACACAAATCTCGGGAGGATACCTGATCGTCCCATCTCATAATCCTGGATGATACCACATCATCCCATCATACAATCTTGGATGATACCTAATCATCCCAACATAATAGTGCTGATGATAACTAATCATCACATTAACAATAAAATGGGCTCGAACACGGCCAACATAAACGATAACATGCGCTCGAACGCGGCAAAAAATCCAAGGGCTTAACGTGGAGGATCACATAGCAACCACGCCAACCGGGCCACGGAAGATCTCATAACATCCATGCCTGCTCCTGATATTCCGCTGCCAACATCGGCCTCTGCCATTGCGCGCGCTCGTGTTCAAATTGGCTAGGTCGGTTCGCAAAAGTGTGGCCTTATCCATGCGCACGGCAAAGGTTACTTGGCGGCTACCCATGGTGGTGCTGGCGGGGAGCGGCCATGGCGCCGCGTGTTGATGGTGCCACAGTGAGAGGGAGAGAGGAGAGGAGTAGCGTCCGTGGGGCCAGGAAGGTTCGCGAGAGCGCGATCGATCTTATCCACTCGGTGCTGGGTGGGCGGAGCGCGACCATGGCGTGGCCGAGGCGGGTGCTGTGACGCGGTATTCCCGTCGTCTGGAGGTAGACGACGGTGATGACACACGAGCCCCATCCGTCGGTGAGTGGGAGAGTGGGGAGGGCGCTGGCACGTTGCGAGATGGGTCAGGTTGCGGTGATGGGCTGGCCCATTGCGGAGGAAAGGAAGCGGGAGGATGGAGGGCTACTGCTGCTGTGGGCCTAAAGAGAGGGAGGGAGAGAAGGAGCCCAGGTGGCTTTTCCATTTTCCAAATCCTTTTTCCATTTCCCAGATTTTCCTATACTAAGTTTTGAATGCTTTTGAATTCAAATTTGAAAATGCAGGCATGCAGGGTGTACCACCATATGCTCAACCAAGCAAACAAACAAACACTCTATTTTATTCCACACATGTAGTTTTATTCTAGTTGTCCTACCAAACTAATTCCTAGTTGGGTTAGGTTTATTTATTTTAAGCAAAGTTTTTAAAAGTTCAAATTTTTAGTGATTTTTAAAACTAGTCAAAATTCAGGGTGTTACAAACCTACCCCTTAAAAAGAATCTCATCCTCAAGATTCGAATTGATCCTCAAATAGATAGGGAAATCCCTTCTTCAGATCATCTTCTCTTTCCCATGTGGCCTTTGCCACAGTGTGATTGCTCAATTGTACCCGACAAAACCTTACTGTTGTCCTTCTTGTTTGTCGGGTGGCAACATCCAATATCTTGATCGGTCTCTCTTGGTACTGTAGGTCTGGCTGTAAATCCATGGCTTCCATAGGTGCTTGTTCTTCTGGTACCCTCAAGCATTGCTTTAGTTGCGATACATGAAACACATCGTGCACATCTGACATTTCTAGAGGCAGTTCCAGGCAGTATGCTACAGCTCCAATTCTCCCAATGATCTTGTATGGCCCAATGTATCGTGGTGCTAATTTTCCTCTGACTTGAAATCTTCGAGTGCCCCTGATCGGTGATACTTTCAGATAGGCAAAGTCTCCTGGTTGGAATTCTAATGGCCTTCGTCGGGTGTTTGCGTAGCTCTTTTGTCTGCTTTGTGCCGCTTTCAAATTCTCTCGGACCATGGCTACTTGTTCTTCTGCATTTTTAATCATGTCTAGACCGAACAAACTTCTTTCTCCAACTTTGGACCACATTAATGGTGTTCAACATTTTCTTCCATACAATGCTTCAAATGGTGCCATATTCAAGCTTGCTTGATAACTATTATTGTAGGAGAACTCTGCAAATGATAAGCTCTTTTCCCATTCTTTTCCATAGGTGAGCACACAGGCTCACATCATGTCTTCTAATATCTTATTTACTCATTCCGTTTGTCCATCTCTTTGTGGATGATAGGCTGAGCTATAATCTAGGTGTGTCCCTAGAGCTTTATGTAAGCTCTTCTAGAATCGTGTTGTGAATTGCGTTCCTCTGTCTAAAATGATTTGACTTGGTACCCCATGTAGTCAGAGTACGTTGTCAATGTACAGCTTTGCCAACTTGTTACCTTTGTAATCGGCCCTTACTGGAATAAAGCGTGCTACCTTTGTTAGTTGGTCCACTATAACCCATATTGAGTCGTGTCCATTTTGTGTTTTGGGCAGCCCTACTATGAAATCCATGCTGATCTCATCCCATTTCCATACTGGATTATGTAGTGGTTGGAGTAATCCTGTTGGTCGTTGATGTTCCACTTTAACTCATCGACAGGTATCACATCGGGCGACATATTCTGCGATATCTCCTTTCATTCCAACCCACCAGTACTTTTGTTTGAGGTCCATGTACATCTTGGTTGATCCTGGGT